CGTTATGATCACTGCAACGGTTTTTGCTTTGCAACATTCTCAACCCCGCATTTCTTCGTATTTTATAGAAAGGAAAAGGCGTTTCTGGAACGAGAACTTGACTTTATGATTTTCTTACGTTATTCTGATTAAATATAACGGTGTGCCACATCAGCGTAACTAATTCAACTTAAAATGTTCCTTTTTGATAGAACATGCTGTAAGATTTTCTATTTTTAAAAGATATAATAACATTACGAATTGTTACACAGGGCGGAAGGAAGGAAATTGCATTCCAAAGTTGGCGTTATGTTAGTTTATGACTTGAAATAAGGTCGCAATATTGAACAGAAGGAATACGTAAAGTTGGAACTGCTATGCATATATCTGGCGAAAGCAATCTGTAAACTCCCTACAAGTAAAATTGAGAAAAATTGATTTTGGTCTTTCCAGTGAAATAAAATCAGTGGTGAATTAGCTGACATTTACAACAAATTAGTGATATTTAACTGTAAAAGCAGTAATATTTTACCATGAAATCAACATTTTCTACTGACTCTTGACATTCTTCGTGGTCTTATTTGTGGATAAAAAAATATTAACGTCTTTAGATCCTTGAATAGTAGCTTATTATAGTTATCACGTTGATACCTTTAATACGAAGGTCGTGTGAAAAACTGATTAAGCTCGTTACATTATTTCACCATTCGGGAAATTACCCAGCAAGTTTGAACATATTCGAAAACTTTACTACAGATTTTGTTGCAACTTTTGTAACGAAACATCGTATGTTAGTTTAAATATGGAGAAACCTGAGATAAGAGCTGTTATCTAATACACTTCGTTTACTTTCTCTAGAGATGTGCCCCTTCCAATGTCTTGGATCCGCGACGGCAAAATCGTAGGAAGGGAGAAAAGAGCTCATTTTATGTTCTCGACTCTTGTTCATTAAACATACTTTTTCGTACAGTACCTGCCAAAAGTTTTGTTCCATCATGAGTAGTTGTGCGAGTCGAAAACAAGCTTTAAAGCCTTTAGTATGTCTTCAAATATAAATAAATATCTCGTTGATATTTTCAGTACCAATAACAGCACATTTCTTGCTAGCAAATTAAGTGGATAAAATGGTTAATTTTTCCGTGCAGTATTGTACGCATTATACGCTCCTCACCGGTTGAGAGTTTGGCCGAGAGTTGTCTCCTTTCCTTTGTGGTCTAATTCTGTTCTTTTCTATTTTGCGCCGATCATCGCTGGAGAAACTAAATGAAGTGTACTTTCATTTGAAAGGCTTAAAAGTAAACGAAATAAAAACTAAGCTTGATTCGACTTTAGGTGAGTCTACTTAACATACAGTCATTAAACTATGGGTTTCTGAATTTAAAATATGAGTTGTACGAGCACCGAAGATGAACCACGCATCGGGCGCTCGGCGGAAGCAGCTACGCCACAAATAATTGGAAAAATCCACAAAATCGTATTGGATCACCAAATCAAACGAAGATACTTTAGAGACGTAATCAAGGGAAATTTTTGCGTCGATTTGTAACTACAGATGAGACGTGGGTCGGCCATTACACACCAGAGTTCAACGAACAGTCTAGGCCAGGGGTTAGCAAGTAAATTTAGGTGGGGTGTGGATGTTTTTGAAAATTCTTATCGAGGTCCAGAAAGAAGATATCCCATCTTGCAACAAATGATAAAGGTGACGCTCAAAGCTCAAAGATAGTTTGCTATATACAGAAAAATATTTTTTAAATAATTTATTTGAGCAACTAACTTTCAAAAGATTATTGGCCTTCCGCGGTCCGGACCTGGACTGCAGTACGCCAGTTGCCGACCCTTCGTCTAGACAGTGAATTGAAGAAAGTCAATCGGCTCCAAAGGAAGCAAAAGTGACTTTGTTGAAGAACAAAAGCTATCATTTTCTGGGACGCCCGGAACAATTATGATTGACTAAGGTAAAATTATAAAAGAAGTGTTTTACGCGAATTTATGTCAATGTTTGAGTGAAAAAATAGAAACATTTGACGAAAAGAAAGTGCTCCTTCATCACGACAATGCTCCAGTCCACACCTCGGTGCTGGTGATGGCACAAATCCACGATGTGTGCTTTGAATCGCTCCCCTATCCGCCATATTCACCAGGTTTTTACCTTGCGACTATTACTTGTACTCAAAAAATGGCCTGAAGGACAGATATTTTCAAGTAACGACGAAGTGATTGCTGCTATAGATGGATATTTCAAAAGCCTAGACTTAAGTTCGTATACTGCCGATATCAAGAAACTTTCAGAGTGATGGACCTAATGTATATCTCTAAATGGTGACATGCGTTGAAAAATAATTTTTGTAAAAATACGCTTTCTTTATTGGGAAGTTCGAAACTTTACAAACGACCCTCGTAGATCGATATTTATCAGTAATAAGTGCAGCTTCCCCTTCAGACGTATTGTTTTTATTAAGTAAATATGAACGATTACTTTTTCGTATCCTTCTAGAAGGCTAAAAATTTATTTTATGATAATGTCTTGTATACGGCCGATTTGAATTTTTCGAATAGTGGGAAAGCAATCTATTTACGAATTGAGCATTTGTATTTTACACATTGGTCAGGTTAATCAATAAACAAATTGCGATCGCGTTTTGGTCAGTGGAGCTTGTTAATGGTTAATGAGTGTTTATGGTTGTTTAGATACCAATTATACATTTAAAGCACCCGATTTACATGTTGCCGTCGATGTATTCCGTTGCAGTAGGCCATGGGAAAAATCGGGGGTGCATTTAATGAAATTCACAAGTTTACCAACAGTTAATAGTTTTGTTATAAACTGAATTCTAATTACGACTAAATTTAAATAAGAAAATTAGCTTTGTTACAATAAAGTGAAACTTTAACAGGCAAATTGATGTTATCTCAATGTATTTTTTAAAGAATATGAAGCTCACTTTTGAACATCTACATTAATGCATTAGAATACAAAAAGTCAGGGGCTAGCGCAGGGGAGGGTTTTAGGATTCTAACCACCTCCCGAAATGTGTGAGAATTTTGCACATTTTTTACATTTTACGTTTTCATAATTACATGTAACTTTTTAACTAGTTTGTTGATAGAATGAAAGTTCGATTTTTTTTTTTTAAATTTTGCATTCACCCCTTACCAATACTGGTTTTTTCCCTAAATTAGGTACCTGTACTTTTATGTGTAGGCATTTCGTATCAATCAGTATTTATCTACTTACAATATCTTTCCTATTTACCAACAACCCTGTCCTATAAAAGAATTGATTTTACATTGTAGTAGCAATAAAATTTATTTGTATTTTTTATTTACCTATCAAAAAATGTAGTAACTATAAGTACAAAATGAATGAGAAGTTTTATTTCATGATGAATATTTGGTCATAAAAATCAAATTTGAACGTGTACTACAATTCTAAAAGAGTAACTATTAATGCGAAAATTAATTTCTAATTTTTATCCATTAAAAAATAACCTCAAGTTAAAGAATTGAACCCGGGACCTTTGGCATTACCCACCAATGGTCTTTTATGAAAACCAACCCTCCCTCTAAAATATCTTCTGAGTTCGCCCGTTTTTAAAAATGTACTGAATATTATTGTTTATGGACTTGCATAGTGAGATATAAAATTGCATTTTGCGTCGATTGATCGAATTTTATGCGAAACGAAGGAACAACATAGTAAAGTAAAAAATAACTTCAAGAAAATATTATTTTTACGAACCTGTAGGTGAAATCGCAAATTTTACAGTAAAATGAAAGTCGTAGAATGTAAACTTTATTTTGAAAGGGTTCAATTTCCTAAAAGTCAATTCAAGTATTGTTTAATGAATAAATATGAAAATAATACCTAATAGGTAAGTATTTCTTTACCTATAGAAAAGTCAATATTACGACCTGTTTTTCTGTCTCAGCCTTGGTCTTGTTTGTTCTGTCTTTGCCTTGGTCTTGCGTGTTAAGTCTGGATCTTGCTCATTTAATCTGATACTTTTTTAAGCACAAACTTTTCTATTTACCGACATAACAGTTGTCTTAAATGCTGAAATTTTGTCATAACTTTTAATGAAAATAGCGTCAATAATTATGAGAGTTAAGGATACGTAGCGAATATCAGGGAAATCATCAGGTTGGGTGAAGACGACCACCCGTCTCACCACCCTGCCTCACTCCTTTCTGTTAATTGATTGCTCGATCTTCTTTTTCTTCTGAATCAAAGCTGGCTATTTTAATGACTGCTTAATGACTTACTAGCATAGTGGTCGGCTTAGCTCGCAATTTTAATCAAATAATTTCGATATAAGTACCAATTGTGTACTAGTAACCTAAATAGAAAATTATGGATATTTTATAACAGTATGCCTCAAAATTTTGAAATAAAACTCAGTATTTTTCTTTTTGGAACTCGATTAGCTCTATTACTAAAAAATAACTGCAATAAGAAAAAATTTTTCCTCGTTAATCTACGGTAATCTGTAGTGGGAAGGAAATTAAATTAGTTTTACATTAATGTTTTAAACAATTATTAATTATTAATCGCTACTGCAAAGGAAAAACTTTCTTAAAGCATTTAATAAACTTCTCTAGGTTCGAGTCGCCTAAAAGCCTTGATGATCTTCTAGTCTTTAATAGAGCAACTATGTGGTAAATATTTAAAGTCAATTGGAGAGTAACTGTTTTCAGAACTCCACTTGAGGCCTTCTTTTAAATTTTAACAAACACCCTCCATGTCTATTTTGTGTTCTTTGGTATTCATAAAATTGATAGATTATACAAATTAATTATCTTGCATTTTACATTACAAATTAATAAAATTTTAGGTATTTGAAATTGCACTATTACGTTACGTATCGATAAATCATTTTGATCGATAATTGTTGTTATTATTCTTTTTAAAAGTCCCTTGTAATCGTTTATGTTTGCTAAAACAGTTCATCTTTCGATAGGACGCATGTGTTGTAGATAAGCCAAGCAGTTCGCCTTTCACTGTCCTTGTTGGATGATGATATCATGATTCATCGTGTTCGAGCTTTGGCTAGTTGTCTTTGGGTATATTACATGCCTACTTATTATAGTACTTAACGGTTTACAATGAGGTTTTTCCGTGTAACATTTTGTTTGTAAAATTAAAATAATAGTGAATTCAGCAGGATTATTTATGCAGGCAGCTTTAACTACAAATTAAGGTATAAGTCTCTCATTTACTATTGTAATTTGGACATTTGAACGCGAGTCATAATATATTGTCTTCTTGTTTGATTTTGTGAGAGAGAAATACATGTTGAAAAATCTCTTACTTAAAAATATAACAAAATATTTGCCATTATTGTAGAAAAATTGTAGTTTTATTCAAATTTAGTTCGTTTTTGCACGTATAGAAAATTACTTATGGTATATATATAAATTCAACGTAATTAAATTTAATTTTTTTTCTTAATAATGTACTTATCTACCTTTAGAATATTTTTAGTTACCTCCGTAATAATTAGATAACACAACCACACAAAAAAATCAGCGTAGGGGTCTATACTGTATGTTTTTGTGGTCGATATATACAAACCCGAGGTCAATTTCACTCCAGTACATCAGGGTTTAGATATAATCTTAAAAAATAATCTAAATCATGATAATCCCAAACGATTTTGAATTTTAACCAGTAACCAATCTACTCTTCTACTAAAAATAATCAGAACAGTATTGCTTAATCTCTAACTTTGTAACTATTTGTAATGTTACCTTCTCGGGATATACCTAGATGGGATAATACTAATGCTGAAGATCCAACAAATTTTATATAGGGTTTTAAAGAGTTCAACACTGTGGGAATCATGAGGATATTCTGTTTTAATTTTGTGAAATATACGTCACGAATAGTTTAGCCGTTTCGGTATTTTGATTATGGGAATATAAGTCTAAGATTGTTTTATACGTGATTTTATTCTGAATAAAAGAATTAAATTACACGTTCTTTCTCAACCAAACAAGAGTTCTTGACACAAATAAAACATTAAAAAATAACATAAACACAGTCAACTTGACCAAATCAAAATGAAGTTAAATCTATGATTATTTATATTAAGCTTAACAACTATCCCCAAGGTAGCAGTACTAACCAGAGGTTACATAAGGTTACGGGGTTATAAGGTTTTAGGGTTAAGGGTTTAAAATATTACGAATTTATACATCTAGTGGAAGAGTTGATTTAGAGAGAGAAATGACTATTATGATTCCCTACTTCAATTCTTAAAGGTAAAATTGTTTTGAAAATTGCATTCAAAATGCTACAAACATAATTAGCGAAATTGTTCTCTTGGGTCTTGTTTATTAACAGAATTGTTTTACAATTTTCTGTAAAATTACTGTTAAGGGATAAATTGGGTAATTTCTTAAGTTGAGAATGTTCTTATTTTTATTAATAATTTTTATGTAATTTGAATTTTGTACTTCTATTCTAAGTAGAGTCAAGTATATGAAATAAATCTTGTTATTGTTTAACATTAAAATTATCCTTTAAATAAAGTTTATATATTTTATTGCAGTTATTGTTCTTAAATTCTACCGCTTCAATGAAATGGTGGAGAAGTTTCCGACCTGTTAATTTTGTGTATCGTTACTGGAATGGTAAATTACAGCCTGGTTGGATTGGATTGTACCTCTAAAGTCAACGATTATTTATTATCAATAAGGTAAGTTAAACGTATACCTTCCTCAATTTTTATTTCAACGTTTATTGTATTAAGATGCATACTTACTTTTTATTTTCAATTTTGGTGACTTTTCCTTATGGGCATTTGGCCAATGACCCACCAAAGTCATCCTGGAGTAGACAATTGAATATTTTCAATAATTAGAGCTTGTCTAAAAAGCGAATTGAAATTGAAGTGATAATTTTCTTAATTATTTAATTACATTAAATAAACTACTAACATCAATACCTCAATGTTTCAAACATGAGCGATGGGTGAATTTCAGATTGGCTCTAAAAGCTAATAAAGAGATGATTGCCAATTAAAAGAAGAAACATTTATATTTCTTCCAATGACATGAATATTTTAGATTTACGGATTCGGATTGATAAGCCGTTTCGTTAATTTAATTATTATTATCATCTAGATTATTTTCTATTCCCTCAGTATCTACATTCCAACCAAGTTTCAAATGAAAAAAATAATTTAAAATGTTTTTACATAATCCCAAAAGCTCCTACATTTATTTTTTCACTAGCTGCATTCCACGCTACTAAGTTGAACTTCTTTCCAACCTCTGTTCTCATTCCCTCCAACCTAGAATTCTTCCTTCAAAACTCGAAACGTCTTATTTCCTGCATCGTCAGCTTTTTTTCATTTTAAACCTATCATATTTTCCCTACTTATTTGAACTGTTTTTGATTTGTTTTTTTTGTTTATTATTTAACTTCTTACTTAACCATATGTCAGCATATAATGATCCTTATTCTTATCTCCTATACTATCATATGTTCCTTAACGTATACATTTGTGTTCCTCGAATTTTCTTTATTTTTCAGTATCTTTACTTTCTGTACTATACTTCCTGCCTTCACCTCAAATACCTTTTCTTTCACTTTCCAAACCTTCACTACTTGTACATTAACTTTCAGCTTCTCTTTTATCACTTTTTTTATTTCCACGCCCTAGTCTGCTGATTCCAACTCCAAACCAAAAACCATAATGTTCATTTCTATTTCTGCCTTCTTTATCTTTTCCACTTTTTTATCTAAGCTCTTAATCTTTTGTTCCTGTTTCACTATTTTCTTTCCTTCAACTTCCCTATTCTTTTCAACAACCATCATGTCTCTTTTAACCATTCCCATAACATCATTTGTCAATTTTCCCTCCTTTATCCCTAACTATTCCATACAGCTATCCATTTATAATTTTTTTGAGTCACAAATTTTATTCAAAAAACCCGTATACCTATTTTCTTCTATTTCCTCCCTTGCTTTCAGTTCATCTCTTATTTGCATTTTTAATTATTTCTAATATACTACCTATGTTTATCACAGTATTTCTCAAATTTCATGTTATTTTTTCTTAATTTATATTATTTCCTCAACTGCGATATATTTCCTTTAATTGTTAACTAATTTAAGTGAAAGTGAGTAGAAACGTATTTATCGTGTAGGGAATAAGTACTAATTGTAAATCGGGACGAAGATTTAAATTATGAGAAAATACTTGAAATGAGGGTTCATGCTTTTTTAATTTGACCTTCTACGTAAATGGCCCACAAATTGCTACTGGTTGTTTTTAAAATTAAAAAAAAAACGAATACCAACTTCTATGCTCTGCAATTTTGAGCGTCAGTTTCTCTACTTATTGTGGTACAATGAAAAAAGGAAACAAAGGGATTCGTTTTCAACTGAGACAAGAGAACAGAAGCCAGTTAAAAACAAAATCAAATTAGACTGCTAATTACTAGGATTTGAATGAACAAGCACACAAAGCGTTGAGAAACCATAACGATGTTAATAGTTCTGGATGAGTTTCCAGCCCGAGCCTACGAACTTTTATTTTACATCCAAACCCACAGCAATAAATTTAAAAAATCATACAGAAAGGTAGAGATTCTTCAATATAATTGAATAGGCAAAAATCGATTTAAAGATATGTAGTGAAATTACAAATAACGCTTTTTATAATAAATATCTGTTGTACTTTTTTAACTGAAATGAGATATCCAAATGATACTTTTGGATAATTATCTGATAATGATACCTCATTTTTTAGTATATTTCTGATTTTCTTGGCCAGCAAAAGTTAGTGGCAATTTTTAAAATAAATACAAAATTTTCAAATACATGTTCACCTATGTCGTAAATCTTATGTGTAAATTAATAACAGGTAAAAATTATTAGAGGCAGAAAAAGGTAGACCTAGATTAGATTACTGTTACAAATAGTTAAGGATGTGGGCTGTTCTAATTTTAGGGAAGTGCGAAGATTAGCTCAGGACAGGAAAAAGTGGAAGTGCGAGAACAACCAGTTTTAGTACTGACGACCTTATGACGATTACGATAAGAAATTACTATCAAAGTAACGTAATAATACATTCACTTACATGTATTTCATACACATTTTAATTTGTTCATAACGCGCTGCCTCCCCTGTACTCATTTCTAGACTTTTGACCCACAAGAGACACATTGAATGGGTACTGATATCTATTAAGAAAATGATAAAAAGATAGTATAATAAAATAAGCAGTTAAAAATAATATAAAGATTGCACTTTAAATGGGACTACATTTTAGAAAATAGTGTACATTTTTTTAGCTTTTAAATTTTGTCTTTCGTATTGACTGATGTAATTGAAATGCTCTGATAATGCTTACATTAGAAGTGATTTTGATTGATCTATATAACCTTTTTTTATATCTGTAATTATTATTAACAAGGAATAAAATTCAGTCTACATACATATAATCGAAATGTTGAGTAATGATAGTATTTTCCATTTAAGTTATTAGAAACGCCATCATGAAGAAAATAGGTATTCTTGGTCGGAACACCCTTTTTAAAGAAAAAGGGACAGGTATTAAACAGAAGACCACGAAAACTATCTCATGACTACTGTGTTGTCGATTTCCCATCATATAAAAGTTTGTATAGTTTTATTAAATTAAATAAAATCCACTTTTGAGATTATGGTACCTACCTATATGTACAAAAATGAATAAAACGTTAAATACAAAAAATACACAGTATGTATTAGAAAACTTTTAGTAGGAAAAACTAAATTTACGTTTCATTCTCTATATTAAAACATGCACATCATGAAAATGAAAAATTTATTAAACACGTTCAATTATTTTAAAACTGTAAACCTTGATGGTATCCTTAATTGTACCATGTAAAATCAATTTAACAGTGCACAGTGTTCTGTTTAAATTCTGTTGTGATTACTTACTTACGGTGTTATAGGAATCGCCAAATGCTATATTTCAGATTTATAGGACTGAATTTGAGTTATTTCTTACAGAAATGTCCTAGTCTCTTTTACTAATATCTTACTTTTATTTTGATTAGCAAGGTTTCTGTTATGAAAATTACTCAAGGTGTAATAAAAAGGAAACTTCGTGTATAATATAGGGTTGTAAACCTAATTTATCGATTACTAGCAGAGAATACAGTTTCCCAGGTTGTGAAGGAAAGCGAATTTCCCAATGAAAACTACGAGCGGCATCTGTGCTCTAAGGGTTCAATTTCCTCTTATTCTTTCACGTGAAAACTCTTTTTTCCCTTTCCCCTTATTTTACAAATGTAGGTAACGATCATATTTCTAATAATTTTGACGGTACATATTCCTTTCCGGCACATAATTCCATAGACTTTCTTACTGTTGATGTCCATATTAATTTCACTTAAACTGGAATTTCATCAGTTATAAAATTATTTATGTAAACATTTACTTGATTAAGGCATTAACGAATTTTATTTTCCCTACATCATTTATCCGAACCTGTACTTTGACAGATAACCTGAAGATTTGTTTAATCAAGTTATTCTCCTACCAGACGCAGATTGTCGGAGTACTGAAATTATGTAGTTTTCTTCAGGGTGGCGGTCAAATAATTACACAACTATATGTTTTTTGTAACATTTTATTATATTACTTATCGTTTATGTACAGAGTTTGGGTGTTTTTTATGTGTATAATTTCTTTGATAATCCCTTTTGTATAATTGCTTTCCCAGTCCAAAATATCAGGTTCTTTGAAATTGAAATTATGCTGGTTATTTAATGCATGTTCTGATAATGCTGTTATCGTTTTGTTTATGTTTTTACAACCTCATCATTCTTATTTTTCATTCACTTTTCGCTTAACTTACTATGTCATATCCCCTCACAAACTCTCATAATCCCCTGTCGTTATTTTTCGTTGTCGACACCTTTACATTCATTAATGTATCTCTTTTTCCATCATGACCATCGCATACCTTCTTATTCCTTATGAAATGTCAGTTTTTCTCCTTTACAATTTCTTCTTTTTCCTTCGCGCGCATCCATACTACCTCATCTATTATTATCTTCTTGTACACAAATTTAACCCTCTTAACGATATTTTGTTCTCTCTTCTTTCGCCGTTTATTCCAACATCTTCTGTATTCGTCTCTCCTCAACAGTCAAATCATCTTTTATATAAACGTCCGTCCCTCTCAGCCTTTTACTGTTGTTAACCACTTCTAGCTTCTTTTCCCACTTCGCTATTTCTGCCTCATATACCTTATTTTTAATTTTCCATACCTCATTTACTCCCATGTTCGTAGTCTGTTTGTCCTCCTCCAACTATATTCCAAAAAACATCAGGTTTTGTTTTGATTTCCCTTCTTCTATTTTCCAGTTTCATTTCCAATCTCATTATTCTTTTTTTTTGTTCCTTTACTTTCCGTCCATTCTTCCCTGTTTCCAGCTCCTTTAGTACCATTTCCTGGACTTCTCTTTTAAAGTTCTTTTTCGCCTTTAACCACCCGTTATAGCATTTTTCATTAGATATATTCTTCCAATCTCTATTGTAGTTCCTGTAATTTTCCAATATTCTCCTTCTTTAGTTTTTTCATCTTTCCCTTTATACTTTTATTTTCTTCCTGCATTTTATCTTGCGTCTCTTCTAAATTTTCCCAACTCTACTTTTTTCTTCCAATTCCGGTTTTTTTCCTCACTTTCTTTC